GAAAAGTTTTCAGTATACTCTGCCATTTCATCATGGAAACACTTATAAACCAGCAACGATTGCAAATTGTTGAAATTTACTATCAAAATTCGTGCTCGGTGAAAAATGTGTATCGTTTTTTACTATCATATTATGATCGTCATAACCGACCTGGTGAATCAACAATTCGTAATGTTATCACCAAATTTCGCACCAAGTTTACTTTGTTGGACATTAAAGCATTGTCTCGCATGCGTACAGTGCGTACTAAAGAGAATATTGCAGCCGTAGCGTGCAGTGTTAATGAGGATCGTGAAATGTCAATTCGTCGCCGTACTCAGCAATTGGGTATGTATTACTCAACCACATGGAAAATTTTACTTGTTGATTTGGATTTGAAAACCTATAAAATTCCACAAATTTTTCCAATTGTCTATTGTCTAATTTTTGGTGAATGAGCCTTAGAACAGCTTAATGAAAATCCGCTGTTTTATCGAAAAATTGTGTTCAGCGATGAGGCTTATTTCTGGCTTAACGGATATGTAAATAATATATATCATCTGGAGTGATGAACAACCACGAAAATTACCGTTGCATCCCGATAAAACGACAGTTTGGTGTGGTTACTGGTGGCTTTATCGGTTCATTTTTCTTCAAATACAACCCTGGAAGAAACGTTACCGTCAACGGCGAACGATATCGAGCCATGATATGCTTTTTTTTCCCTCAATTTTCCGAGTTGAACTTGGTTGACGTGGTTTCATCAAGACGGTCCCACATGCCACACAGCTCACAATGGACATGATGAAGGATGAATTTGTTGAGAAGCTTATTGCTCGAAATGGCCCTGTAAATTGGCCGCGAAGATCATGCGATTTGACGTTTCTGTACTATTTCTTGTGGGGTTATGTAAAGTCCTTAGTGTATGTGGACAAGCTGAACACGATTGAAGACTTACAGTATAACGTAAAACGCGTAATTCTTGGGAGAGAGGTGCTTCTTCTTGGGATACGAAATGCTCGAAAAGGTGACGCAAAATTGAACCTTTCGAATGGACCATTTGATACGTAGCCGCGGACAACATTTAAATGAAGTTATCTTTAATATGTAAATGGCAAAGACCAAGTTATCAATTTCAATGAAAATTTTGAATTTATGACGCAAATTGAATGTTTTATTCGATTAGAAAAACTACGCTTAAAAAATCAACCATTAGTTTACTGTTAATATAGAATATTTACAAGAGCTATGATATGCGCAGAAAAACTATTGAACTCATTATATTTTATTCTATATATTACTATTTCTGCTTCACTTGAATATAATGGAAATGTCAGGAGAGCGGTTAGTCTGGAAAAAACCTTCATTTTATCCTTAACACAATATTTCGTCACGTAATTTGTGACTTCTTGAAGACACAAGAGTGCACTAAAACAGAGTAAACTACATCAATCTGAAGAGCAACAAAATGAAATTAAAGATCCAGAATCTCTAAAAATTTAAATGCGAAAACAACATTCAACGGATGCCGTATATTCCAGACTCTCTCGTACAGTATAGTTTTATTACCAGAGTAATCACAGAATTCTGTATTCCTCAAAATCTGCTCTCGATGATTGAACCAACAACTGTTACACCAAATAATCCGCCGGAAACGTTCGACATTTTATTGAAACTTCGACATTGATTTTATTCGTGCACTGTAACGACGTTCGTAAATATAGAATACTCCGCCACTGACTTTATTTCCAAGTATAGATCACCTCTGGATTCGCTTCCGTTTTCCCTTCTTGTGCAGAAGTGAAAAGACAGGAAGTGCTTTGTTCAGCAGGTTGCATTGTTTCAGGGACCACTGTGCGGACTACGTATATTGTCTGTTGATGAATTCGAAACTAGGAATTCTAATAGAAGGGAATGGCGATTGCTGGTTTGATTGAGATAGTGTTTTGTAAGAAATCTGTATACGAGACCTTCAAATTATATCTAAGACAAATGATAAAAATTCTCTTTATATATGGATATCTCCCTAAATGTGCAAAAATCTGCCTTCATAGTTTTATGTACAAAGATTGATGAACAGAGAAGATTGGGAGAGTAAAATATTCAGTGAAATATTCAGCCATTATAGTAGATATAAAATTGAGTTTTCATGATCATGTCGATTTCAAATCATCTGAAATCTTTGAGAAATCAATTTTTCAAGAAGAATTGTAAAAAATCTATCGACATATGTGAAGTTATTGTTGTTCAAATCAATAGTAATGCAACAACATGAATATTGATATAGTTTGTTCTTCGGTTTGACTAAGGAGAAAAGGAAAAAAACTCGACAACCATACAAATAACAGAATATGCAAATAATTTTAAATCATGTCTTTATATTTATGTTTAAATCCATTTCGAGTGGATGTTTTGGTGTTACAGGCTATTTCAAATGATAACGATATTTCTACCTTTATGTACGTTTCGGAGGTGTTTCCTCCTTCTTCAGCAATTTTAATTTTAATTTTCTCTTCATTTATTTCTGGTTTTGTTAACACTGTTAAATCGTCTTCAACACAACATCGATAGTTTCAAACCGATATTCTTTCAATATTCATATTTATATATATACTTATATATATATATATATATATATATATATATATATATATATATATATATATATATATATATATATATATATATATATCGAACTCTCTGGATCAAAAGTCTATTAAACAGAGAATACTCTTTGCTACATATCTAGTTATTTGTTATTTGATTCAGTTGACCTACAGTTTATTGGCGGTTCCAAATGGCCAATGGACTCGTAATCAATGTACATTACCCAAAAATTATCACCATTAAAGCACATAAATAATAGACAAACACATACACTCATGCCTTTACCGGGGCTCGAATCCAAATCCTATCGGACTATAGTCGGGTGTTCTCTCGACGATTAGATATTTTCTATTGAAAATCAGTTGCTCCCACGTAAAGTATTAAAAAATGTAACATATGACAGTAATATGCATGGATATTACACTAGAAATATTGATTTTTTACATCCAAAGTTGTAGGCTTTTTGAATCTAGGATTTTGAAAAGAGAATTTATATATATATATATATATATATATATATATATATATATATATATATAAATATATCTTATATATATATATATATATATATATATATATATATATAAGAAAATGAACACTTGAACATTCATTTGAAAAATTGAAATTAATCAAGAGAATGTTATAGTAGAGCTAGATATGTGAACGTGTACGATGTTATATATATATATATATATTCATATATATAATATACATTCTCTTGATTAATTTAAATTTTTCAAATGAATGTTCTAGTGTTCATTTTCTTAAATATTTCATTCAGTGCCATAAGCACAAAAAAATTTCATTCTTGAACTTTCTTGAACTTTCTACTGTAGTTTATATTGTTCAAAACTTGAAAATTTTCCTCACAAACTTCAACTAAAAAATTTCCTGAAAATTCAACTTCACAATGTTGAATTTTCAGCAGAGCAGGTGATTGGAAAATGTTCCTATTTCAGACATCAAAAAATATTAATTTTTGAGGAAGGAAAGGGATATAGAAGTGAAAAATATTCCCATTACCGCAGGCCAATTAAAATTGAATACAGACATTTCTCGAGGCGCCAGCTACTGAAGTATGTACAACACGTCCGCAACTGATTTTAAAGAAAGAAAAAAAATTAGGTCCCAAACGTGATACGGCGCATCGACGGAATCGTGGAAGCATGTGCCTCGCTCCTATTCCTTTCCTTTGCTCTATCATCAATGAAGACGAGTTTTGACTTTAGAACGAATCGACAATAACTTGAACTTTTGTCTTGAAGTTCTGCAGATAAATTTTACAGATAAAAAGAATTTCTCTTTGTGATGATGATGAACTCGACAAGATAAAAACTTATTCACCTAGTTGAATAGTTTGAGCACATATTTCAAACATTTTCGATATACTAATTCGTCTGTAACTCCGAAAATAATGTGCAATTTAGTATAGGCAAGAAGGCAAGCAAAAAACAGATGTAGGTACCTATATTGAATTAAAATTATATGATTCAATTGAAGTAATCTGAGCAATATATGAATATTTCCATAATTTTTTTGATGAAATCAAGTTTTGTAACATCTGCAAATGAAAAAGAGTTACCCTCACATGATATAACAATAACAGAAACAACAGAAAAACAACATTTCAATTATTGTGGAAATAATATGAAGTAATTTCTATCAATAGAAACGTAGAAGTTCTCTGAGCAAATTGATCAATCTTCACAAATTTGATTAATTAACTTCTGTAATTTGAATTCTCTCAAAGTAATCAATTTTGGTTTGTTTATGATATATGGTGCAAGTATTCAACAGGTTTCCCAAAGACAGAATTTGTGTAGCAAAACATCGACATTACCATATTACTGTAGGTTTTGTCTTCAAGCCCAATAAATAATTTTTTATTCATGTTTGCTAATCAGACTCATAAATTTAAAATTGAGTTTAGCTTTTGAAAATGTGGTAATATTCCGAAACAATTGTTAAGTATCATTATAAATTTTGTGAAACCAAGCCAAGTGTTTTTTATTTAATATATCAAACAATATTTTACCAAGAGATCAGAGAACATTCAATAAACTTCATTAATCAGACTTTGGTTTCAGTGGAATAACCCTAATGGAAATCATAGACAGTCATAGAAGTTCTTTGCAAGTTTTATTCCAATAGACCGAAATTCTGAAAAACTTCCGAATGTTTTTACACCAATAGGAGTAATGAATGAGCATAAGATTAAATTATTGAAAGAAGCATTCATCGAATTCATGCGATATAAATTTCTAAGTATTATATTGAGAACACAATGTCTAGATGTATTATATATACATATATAGTACGGTAATTTTTTGTGTTGATCAACCACGAGTGGACGTTAAGAACGTATTATTATTTCTATAGTGAAACTTGAAATTGAAATTGCATTTCAAAAGTTTTCGAACTCGACTGGGATTCGAACCCAGGTCTTCGGGTTTACGTCCCACTGCTTTTGACAGCTAAGCCACCAAGGTACACTTTAAGACACAACTTGAATAATAATTATATATATATATATATATATATATATATATATATATATATATATATATATATATATATATATATATATATATATATATATATATATATATATATATATATATATATATATATAATTATATAAGTAGTAGCTTCATGAAAACTTTGGGAGAAGTTTTATTGAAACTACATATTATACAAATATGAAGATTTCAATGAATTTTCGAAACAATCGAAAATTTGCGAAAAATTAGTGTAGGTACATATGCTCTGCAGTTTGGGCTCTTAAGTTAACACTTAAGTTAACTGAATGTGATGAAATATCTCATTCAGGGAGATATGCTCAATTTTCTACTTGTTACTACTTGATACTGGTACGTCATACGTCGAAATTCCTGACGGTGATTATCCGTATTATATTAGTATATAAAAGCTACAGAAATGAATGTTTCCCTTTGCTTTAAGTTTTTCTAGACATGAACAAATTTGGTCGTTTCTTGATTGAATGAATCATTTCCTACTGGAAAGAGATTCTGAAGATAACAACTACTATTGAAACATTATATGGAACAAACTTTTATCTCACATTATGAATCCAAGAAAACCTCTTTGAACATTCAATCAAAGGAAATATACTTTAACTAACTATATAATTCTATTTATTTCATATATTCGAAGAAGGAATGATTGTTATGAAAATTTCTTATTAAATTAAACCAGAATTCTTCTCAACTGAAAAAACATGCTACAAATGCTATCATCTATAAATATGCTTAATCTTTATATCTTACCCATATTCTCAAATAATTTTATAAAGGAATCTTACCTGAAACAAAAAAGAAATATTGAAATTTTTATAGTCGTGAATATCGTCTATAAAATGGAGATATTGCAACATAATTTTTCAAAAATTCAATATTATTCTAAGTATCAACTACAAGGTTGAATAAATTCATGAGTATATATAATATTGATCATTTAATTAAATGTTAATTATTGTAGGCATTCACTCACTTTGGGTACATATACTCCTTTTTAATACTGTGCAACATATATTCCAACATTTCGTTAATAATTTATTAACTTGGAGATAGCAAAGATTAAACGATTTTCGCTTTTTTCGAACAAGAACAACCACTATATCTTCACCGAACGCGTGCCGTACCAGCAGAGAAACGTGATAATTGTTTCTTCATTAAAATCAAATGCATACTCGAAAAATCAAGTGGGGATGGCCAGATTCCGAAAAAGTTCCGTGGAATATCTAATATAGAAACACAAATGTTTTTGTTGTGTTTTCTTTCAATATGTCTACCGAAAAAAATGTAGTCCGATGTAGTTGATGTATTAAACAAGGATGAATCGCACAAGCTACGTTCATCTGTTTCTCGAGAAATTAGGAAGCCATATTTCTACTATATATTGACATTAACAGCTTCAAATAATAACATTTCGATTTCTGCGAATAATAATAGGAATTCGAAACGAAATTTCAGCAAAATTTTGATTTCTGTTCTATTCAATCCGTTTTCAGAAACCGCTGTTATAATATGCATATAGGTAAAACCACAGATAAGTGAATTTTTCATGAAAATGATTTGAAATCAAAATTAGGACGTTCACAGTCGTTACTGAATTATATTCATTTCGAAATTGGAATGGTAGCAAACAAAAATTCTAATTTTGAAAATAATATAACCAACAATTCGTAAAGTCAGAAATAGTCTTTTCTCAATGTTGTCATTTTACATCCGACTCTATGAACTATTTTACCAGCTATTAAATATTTTTCTATTGAATAAGGACAAAAAAATATTATTATCTAGAAAATATTAGATATTATCTGATTCGAGTTCATTTATCGATACCAACAAATAAAAATCACTAGTTTCCTATCAGCCAAACTCTCAAAAAATATTGAATATTCGTTTAATCGATTCCTATGCCTGATTTCATGAAAAAAAATAATGAATTGAAAAATACTGGAAAAATTATTAGAGAAATTTTTCATTGAACATAAATGTGAGAGTCAATCTATTATAAGTCTGTCAATCAATTAGATGAAATCCTAATATACAAACTACTGAATTAGAAATTTCACATAAATATGGTACTCCAATAATATTCTTCTACTAAATGACACGGAGGTTTCGCTTATCTCTTGGTGAAACATTTTGTTAAAAACAATAAATTGAAATCAAACACTTTGCTTAAGTTTCACTATATATATTAAAAACTCTACATATGTTTCGGGTGGTAGGTCCGTTATCAAGATGTATGTAACATTGTATACTCTTGATAATGGGTTTACCACCCGAAACATATGTAGGGTTTTTAATATATTTAGTGAAACTTGAGCCAAGTGTGGTAATTTAAGTTTGATATTCTTTTACACTTATTATTTTCGTGTATTTTTATACTCTTTAAACTGTATGATTCAGATGAAAGGGAGTAACAAACTCTAAAACAAATAAATAGAGAGTATTGATTCCTTATATATATACTTGAATAAAATGAATAATTTAAATAAAACCAAGTAGTTTTTCGATTTTCACTATAATTAATTCAAAACATGACAATATCGTTTCGCCAACACAGTGGCTTCATCAGATGTTGATGATAAACTGAGCTATTACATTGTGGACTGCGTATATTTATCATGAAGTTCGTGGGATGGGAATAACCATAGAACACTGTCCTTCTTTTACAGGGTGATGACTATGGAACATATTTCTTCTGAAATATATTCAGTGATTTATATTTGAAATTTGGAACGCGATGTTGAAATTTTTCTTCATTCATGTAGGCAATGTATACAATCCTTCGATATCCTCATGAAATTAACATTTATGAAACTGTTTATGTAGCTTATATTGTCAAGTATGTACCTATATTAGTGAACTTCTATCGATACCGTACCTTGTAGGTATTTATATTGCGAATTCGTGAAATATGTGTATAGGAGGAACTCATCGAAATGTTTTGGTAGGTGAGTTGTTTCAGAAATAAATTTCATTTCTACTTTTTGTATTTTCTACAGTATTCCAAAGACTGATGACCAAGCCAAATTTTCAATAAAATTAAAAGGAGATACTAGTATTATACTAGTATTATACTTAATCAAGTATAAGTACTGAAGTAATCATAGAGGGAGTGAATTATAATGATTAGAAGTATAAATTATGATTATTATTCGTTCCTAAAATTCAATATAACATTGACTAATCAGTGATGATACTGAAAAGTGTGGTTAACATTTAGTCTCGAAACTCGAATCAGGTTTTTAGCACTACAAGTCGGAAATAAAGCTATGAATCGAACTAATAAATATTCTGAATTAAAGAGCTAAATACTTTTGTATAAAATATACTCGATTTCAGCTTATTCGAACAGAAGTCAATTGAAATCTTTTGCAATGAATTATTTATTCATTGTACAAACTTGTAGCGACAATTATTAATTTTACTCTCAATATACAATAACTCTCAATTGTAAAGATGATACATTATCTATCAGATGCTGTTCTCCATTTTGAAACCATTAAACTCATATCGTGATATACACAAACGTTGATATCTTGACTGGGATTGATACCCAGTTCTCTCTAGTGAAGTACCTCTACCACTAGTTGATGAAGAAGATGATAACAGGTGAGATATCACCGATATATTTCAAGAATCGGGGGTATATGTTTTATTGACAAACAGAAAAATCATGATGACTTTCGTAACTGCGAATTTCTCTATTAAAACATTGTTTACCTTTATTTTCCTTATTACCAGACAAGTTTTTCTTTTATGAGCGTTATTGTCCCACTCAACTGGGTTTATAGCACTAAGAATGATCGCTTGAATGATTATTTATTCAGGTTCATTCACAACTAGTTCCAATATTATTTCAACTTAATCTGTCTACCGCATCAGTACATTGAAATATTGCCAAAATAAAGATAACCCTGTATTTTTATCCATGAGAATATAGCTAGTTTCAATTAAAGGCCTTCTATTTATGTTCCTTCCAGCAAATTCTTCGATCCCAGGCGGGCGATTACGCTCAACAGGTTCACGACAGTCGTGCCTCCCCCGTGCGCCAACAGAGAGCGTTGCTGTTTTCAAAGCCATTCATCAAGAGCTCGGTAAAATACCACATACATTTTTAAAGCCATATGCCGCCTTTCATGCATACGAGCTTATATTTGAACATGAAAGGAGAAGGGTTCGTATTCGGTTATATTGCAGAAGGGGAATGACGCCCATTCTTCATACAATAATGACATCTCCAATTGAAAATCTGAAATTTGAAATATAGGAACAGCGGACGAAGGGAATATTATGATTTATTGGCATACTCAAGATACGTTGCTCTGTTTTTTACCAAAAATCAATATTTCAATCAAGTTGTAATTGTTCCATTATTCCATTTCAATATTAGTTTCGTCCTACTAGCAACTTCAAAATTTTTTTTGTATTAGTTCTAAATGAGAGGTAATAATTAAACTTGTCTAAAAATCACTGACTGAACAATTCATCGTCCATCGAATTTACCATTAGTTCTGTTAATTTGCAGGTTATGTTGATTCTCATTCAAGCATGTGTGGTTACCTATATTTCACGAAGAATCATGTGAGATACACACTTTTCTTTATTTCAGAAACTGTTCTGAAATGTTTGTAAACATTCCTTTACTATTATTACTTTGTTCTGGAGAATGTTGCATTCAGAAAAAATTCCAGTAAATCCCAAAAATGAATTGGGGAAATCTCATTTCCTCTGCCCGATCTTATGTCTAATGTGTGACGTTTACGTAAAAGGAACTTATTCCAATCTAAATTCTTCAGGAAACAAAACTGTTAGTTAGCACTATCAAATTAATTACTCCACTGCTTACTCCTGGTGTTAACACGTGGGTTAGAATAAGGAAAAGTGAAAATCTACCTCATTTTGAAGAATTTTCCAAGACTGCGCTAACGCAAAGGATGTGGATTACGACCAA